AAGTCTGCCCAGTTCACCTTCCCAATTACCGCCTCTCAAGGCTCCCCGCAGCTATAGGCCTATTTCCCCACTGCCCGACCAAGATCAGCCCGAGATCGAAGGTCCGGAGGGCGAGGAACTCGAAGATAAGCCCGCGATCTCAAGCGGAGGTGGAGGCGGTCCGGGTGATCGCGACTCCTCTCCTTCTGATCATGGTCCCTCGACGCCTCCTCCCACGCCTCCCGGATCTCCCGGCGGAAGTCCCTCCCGTGGTGGTGGCTCGCCTCTCCAACTACATCCGCCGTTATTTCCTGCCGAGGCGACTATTCCTCGATATTCCACAGCTAATATCTTCACTGCAGCTGAGATCACTCCGTGGGACACGACGTTCGTGGGAACCGTGCCGATCATCGTCATGATCCAGGCTACTTTGACCAAAAGGTTGCCGATCCCGCCCGGCTTCTTGTTCCCTGCTCGGACGCCTTTTGTCCGGGCACCTATACCCGTGACCGGTTACGGTTCGGAATTGATCACTGGTGGTTCCGCTCACCCATCGCAACAGATCCCTCGTCTCGCGAACAAGTTCAACCCTCCAGCAGCCCCTTGATCGTCGATCTAGGTTCAACTCGACGACAACTTCCGTGATCCCCACTCTTCATCCCGCGACCGCGATTCCTCTTTCCCGTAATTCTCAATTTCAGCCACATCTCTGTCTGTTTGCTCGTTTTGTCGTTCCTCCTAAGTGATCTCTCTTCAGACGCACCACGCCTTTCGCGATACCCTATGATGATCGACCTTTCCAAAGTGCACATATACAACATGAACTTCTGATCTCAGTCTAATCCGACCTACGCTTCCTCGGGGTCGAGACGATCAGATAATCTCACCCCGTCCTCTTTACATCTCCTCATGAGACTGCATCACATTGAAGCGGTTTCGATTAGCTCGTTCTCGCAGGAAGGCGTTCAGCATTGCCCCCAAGTTGAGATCGGCTTCGTCGACCCAGGTCGGATCGTCATATCCTGCCCAATGCACCAGGAATTCCGACCAAATCGCGTCTTCTTCCCACTCCGCACATCCGAAATCCGCTCGACTTCGTACTCATCGGCCCCGAGATCTGGGACCCAGCCATCCTCCGGGAGCACGATCTCATCGAAGTCGAAGCGATCCGATTCGTTTACAGTGAGTTCAACTCGCGGCCGATCCGGGAAGTCCTTGACCAATTTCAGCTTCGACACGTGAATTACCGGGAAGATCTGGTACCCCGTACCAGCGATCTCGAGCTTGATGCGGAATTCGTTGATGTTGTTGGCGACACGGAAAGGCCCATGCCACAGGTGAGCCAATTTCCGCGCGTATCCTTCCCTCACCCGGTCTAGATAGCCAAACCCTAAGTCCAGCCTCGTTCTGATGCGATTCGACGTCCTCGTTGTGTCGGCTGGCCCGATCTGCGATGGATTCCTTCAATCTAGTGTTGACTTGCTCTCGGGACTGCTGATAATATCGTTGGACCCGATAACGCCACCGCCGCGGGTCTCGATCGCGTCGTCTGGTACATCCGACTGGCAGTGTAGCCTCCAGCGTCGATCTCGGATCCCACCCATGCACCAGATAGTGAGGGGTATCCCCTCAGATCCGATCATGGGCCGTGTTGATCGCGAAGGTAAGTCGTTCAGCATACTCATCCCAATCCTTCTGATCCAGGTCGCAAACATACATCTTGAAGCGCCATGGTCCCCGTTTGTATCATTCTTTCTGCATTCCCGTTGGCTTGTGGCCGGTATGCCATCGTCGCTCGCTGCCGTTGTCCCAGGACTTGTTAAACGCCCGGGAGAAGTCGGACATGAATCCGGGTTCTCGATCATGCCGGATCATCTCGCTGGCCCCGAATCACCGAAATACACACTCTTCGTACGATTCCGCGACCGTCTGGGCCGATCGGGACGAGCTAGCTGTCGCGATCACGTATTCTGTGAACAGATCGACCCAGATCAATAGCTCTGTATTCCCCTTGTGGGATCTGGGTAGCGAAGGTATGTGATCAATCGCAATGATCTGGAACGGGAATGTCGCCTGCAAGTTCCCTGATGATTCACCTCGGATCACGGGTTTTCCTTTTCCCGTTTCACAGCCCACGCATTCCCCCACATATCGCTGAACCCTCCAATATAATCCTCTCCAGTGGAAGTGATCCCTGATTCGCGGATAGGTACGTCTCACTCCCTGATGTCCTCCTTCCAACGTGGTGTGATAGTGGTGTAAGACGTCCGATTGCAGCGTTTCGGGGACCACCAGTCTCAGCAATCGGTCACGATCATCCCCCGATCTCGGCGTGGGAAGGCAGTAAAAGAGTAGATCCTGCTCGTCCACCTCGTAATCGGCCGCGATCTTGCCGTACGACCTTGCTTCTGCTTGAGTGAGGTCTGTGATCGCGCCACTCAGATACTTCTTCATGCCTGCGATCCAGACTTCCTCCTCCTAAGCCCGCTTGATGCGATTGACCCGCATCTCCCGGATCCGGTCCTCTTGCATGACTCCCGCGGGTGATCTTACTTGTGAACCTCGGGTGGTAACCGCTGCAACTCGCACCACTGGTTTCTCGATCCTGGGAATCAAGATCTCGTCCAACCGGTTGAAAGTGACCAGATCCTGGTACCCGGGACCTTTCTGGACCTCGGTCCCGCCTTGTCGTTGCAAAACGGCACTCGCCAGACTGTCGGTGCTCCGATTCCAGTCTCTCTTCACATGCACCAGTTCGTGATCGCTCCATTTCCGCAGGCGATCGAGGGCCTTCCGCTTCAATAGCGTTAGCCCGGGTGGTTTTCAGTCGATCTCGCCCCGTACTTGTCGGATCACAAAGTTGGAATCACCGTAGACCACTAGGCGTTTGTGATCTAGGTTCTCTAGCATTTCGAGTCCCAGGATCAGGCCGTTATATTTGGCTTCATTCACAGCGAGGCTCTCGAGATAGCCCGATCTAGCTTTGACCACCTCCCATCCGGGCAGGCTCCACACGATCGCGATGAACGTGCCTCCGCCACGCTTAACTCGAGCGAATCCGTCAAAACTGACCACCCATAATCCTTCTTCTCGATCTACGGTGGGTATCGGCGCTTGGATCCGGCGTTTAGGTTCCTTCCGGGGGCGATTTCGGTCAGAGCGTCGTCCATTTTTGACCTCGGCGTGATGCTGGCAGCGATCGCACCCAGTATCTCGTCTTCTCATTTCGTACATTTCGTGATCTCGAGGGTCCCCGGTGCCAGGAGGGCTGACCATTGTCCTAGGTGTCCTGTAATCCTGCCGACTTGAACGGCCAGGCTAGCGTGGAATGCCTCGTTAGGACCCGGACTTGCGTCCCACCAATAAATTGTAGTAGAGATATCCAAGATCCTCAGCAACGCTAACACTTCTTTTTCTGTCACATTGTAGTTCAGCTCTTTCGTCTTTAACGTGCGGTTGGCGAACGCAACCGGATGGTAGATCCCGTCGTGTTCTTGCATCAACGAAGCGGAATCACCCAATCGCTGGCATATACAGTAACTACCGTGGTTCTTGTCTCGTCGAAGTGGCGGAGAATTGGGGTAGTCACGATCTTGGTTTTCAAAGTGATGAAGGCCATATGTGCTCTGATCCACCTCTCGTCTACTGATTCCGCCAACGGCAGTTCCGGTGGACCGTGATCTCGAGCAATCGGGTCGTTCTGATCCATGATATTCCTCAGATCCGATCGTTTCTCCAGTTCTGCAAACTCAACTTCGCGCAATTCGTATAGTATCGAAGCGTAGATAGCGTAGTCTTCAATGAATCGGCTGTAGTAATTCAAACTATCCAGGAACGACTGCATAGATCGAAGTGATCCGGGGAATGATAGGTCGGTCAGGGATTTCAGATCTTTTGGATTCGCCTCCAGACCTCCGATCGACACTCGATGTCCCAAGTATCCTACCTTATCCATGCCCCAGAAGCTCTTGGTCACACGGATCGATAAATTCCACTTATCACAAGCCTCCAACAGATCTTCCAACCTTTGGCACATTTGATCCCACGATTCCGCTGCGATCGTGATGTCATCAATGTATGATCTTCATTCCAACACTGAGTCGCGATCAGGATCGCCCGCGATGCCTGTCTGGAAAACGTCCGTTGTATTTCCTGAAGCACCTGGTCTCGGAAATTTAGAAATCCGTACAGCGCGTTGTCTACGAGGCGTTGATAGATCTGGGGGACATTTTTCAGTCCAAAGAGCATACGGCTCCCCTCGAATAGGCCAAACGAAGTGATAAATGCTGAGATCTCACGAGCCCGATCCGTCATCGGCACGACCCAGAAGCCACTGGTCATACCCAGTAAGCAGTACCATAGTGCTTTATCAAGATTATCTAGCAAATCGCTGATCAGAGGCATAGGATAGACCATCAACCTCGTGAGGTTGTTTACCAGCTTGTAGTCGATGCACAGCCTGGTATCCACGCCGTTACTCTTGCGAACAATCACAATCGGTGAGGCCCGTGGCGATGTCGAGGGTCGGATGATCTCGGCGGCCAGGAGGCCCTTGATCAGGCCTGCGACTTTTTTCGAAATCGCGTGGGCACTTTCCGGGATCTCAACGCGATCGGCTTCGCGTTCCCGACGTCAATATCACATAGACCAAGTCACCGATCGGACGGACACCAAGGGTATCAAGACGGATAATTGGACTGACATCAAGAATAACGAGCCGAAAACCGAAATTTTGAACTGTCAAACCCAGATCAAACTCGATCCCGGCGAAGTCTTCGATGTCAAATCCTCGATCCACCCGACCGAGGGCCTCAAACCACGGGATCCGCTGGCGGAAGGAGCAACAGCGACCACCCCACAGGATGCCGAGGACGACGATGATATATATTACCATGAGAGTGATGATCTCTCAGCTGAAGATCTCGAAGAAAACCTCGCTGTCCTCCCCGAAATCCAGATCTCGACGACCGCGTATGTCAGTATCGAGGATCTGCAGGTAGGAGACTCCGGACCGAAGAGATGTGTCCTTCGGATCCACACCTTCCGGACGCCCGATCTTGAGGTCCCCGATCTTCACTTCAGCCACCAGCCACCCCCGAGGAGATCGAGAGGCTCCGGCAGATCATTTGGAAGGAGCAACCAGTCTTGATCGGTAGGGGAATGCCCTGTTGCCGGCAGCCAGGGGCGTCGTATGTGCTTCGGTCCGGAGTCTCCTACCTGCAGATCCTCGATAGTGAAGGCGTCCAACGGACCGCTATATTGACAACACAATCGGCTGAAGAGCATACATTTGAGTGGATTCACGAGAAACAGCAACATCATCTCAAGGCAGTTTGTATCGCGTTCGATCAAATGCACCAGACTGCTGACGCTACCAGTACTAGACGCAATCCTCAAGCCAGAGCACGAAATGCAAAAAACAGGGAGTCAAAATGGCTCATTTTGCTGTTGGTGATTTTGTTCTAGCGGCGTCTGCAATTAGGGGAGGCAGCAAACATGCTCTTCGTTGGCGAGGACCCGTTCCCTGAACGATTACACATTTGAAGTCCAAGATTTGTGTGCGCC